CAGAATATCACAGGGACCTGTAGCCAAGTTCCTAAGCATCGCCCCTGCAGTCTTTTCAAACTTCATGAGCCAGGTCCACATTGCCCATTGTCCTCTCAGCATGCTGAGCTTCCAAATCCCCACCATAGTGACATTCTCAGCCCTGCCTATAACATCCCAAGGATCTCCTTGCTCCTAGCTCCCGGGCTCTTTCATATCCCTCCTGCAGGTCACTTTTAAAGGCCCACAGACAACCGTATGACGCCAATAGCTCCATGTCTGATGTAAACTTTATGTTCTAGTTACTTTTCATGAAAGCGCATGACAAAGATGATGTATTTTTCAGCTTTCACTTACCGCAGAGCAGATAGCCTCCCTCCATGTGTGATGAAAACAGACATAATCTCCACCTTTCTAAGAGGACTTCTTAAGATAGATGGTTTGAAAATAAGACTCAGAAGTTCTTGTATGATTTACAGTCTGCAGGCATGAAGCTCATTGCAATGGATAACGATTACCATTCTGCCTGACTATACTCTCATAGATTTGAATCCCAATTATGGGTAATATGATTTCTGATTTTTCTAAACGTATCTTGTATTTGGTCCATGCTTTCAATTTCATAGACTGCCTGCCTGTTTCTTGTTTTTTGTTTTTTTGTTTTTTATTTTTTTCTCATCTTTGTCTTGCTTTGCTACAGTATTGTAGGCAGACAGAATGCAAAGAAGCTAGATTTTACATGAATGATCAAGTGTGCAGTACTTCTGGAACTTGCAACGGCCATGGAGTAAGTATTTATCGCAGCAATACGGCTTTAGCAATCCAATAAGAAGGCATTATAGACTTGTTTTTTTTTTTTGCCACTTTTATTCTGTATGGTGTCATTTATCAAATATATTAATTGTATTTTACTTTATTATATGATGTATTATACAACATATAACATAATATGATTACATATTATAAATATAATAAATATATTATATTTACTATATTTGTTATAATTTGTAACTTCAGCTTTCTCTTCTTAAGGAACTTGCCAACTAGCCACAGAATATAGATCTGGGTATGTCGAATATTTGATGATTATATGGAGTGGAGAATGTTCAGGGAGTGCGTTCTTGTGTAGCCACAGAACTATACAATCCTCTGCTTATAAAGACAAGGCAAGAGGCAGTAAACAGATGTTGTTAGAAAAGTCATTGCCAGCCTTACTAGAATCTGGGCTGCGCTGTGAAGCTAGAAAGTATTAAGTGACAAGACAATTAGCTGGATATTATTGGCAGCTGTGGTACTTGGGTGTGCTTCTAGGGAAGTTGAAAAAATAGATAAAAAACTGAAAAAGATAACTTAGCTTCAGAAACTTAAATATATCCTCTAAAGTATGGACAATTATAAGAGGAAACTTGGTGAATTTGTATTTAAACTAAATTTCCTAGAATGCAGTGCTACATGGTACTAAGTTCTTCTTTTAATCTATCCAGGTTTGCAACAATGTTAACCACTGTCATTGTGATATGGGATATTACCCTCCTTATTGCGAGCCACGAAAAGGAGAGTTTGGCAGTATTGATGATGGACACACATATTATATTGAAGGTTAGCATTCTTACAATTTTATTTATGAAATGTAGCACATTAGAGGCTAAGTTAAAGGTCCAATTCTTTATTACATAGTAGCCAATGTAGCAAACAGGGCTTTTCATAAGGTTAAAAAAATGGACCATATATTCTTTTCCTCTTAGTACTCAGATTGCACGTTAAGATCAAAGCATGCTCAGTGTCACCAATTTTAATGTAGAAATTCAATTCTTATAACTTGAATAGCTGATTTTAGTTGTTAGCATTGCATTGTCTCCAAAAGTAGTTCTTGTTTGGAATAGTATCAGTTATTCCATTGATATTCCCTCCCCTCCCTCCCTCCCTCCCTCCCTCCC